GTCTGACCCGCAGGGTCAGCTCAGAAGAACTGCACCAACACATGCCACTGCCCAGGGTGGCTGCCCTGCGCCCCGAGGGCAGTGAGACAGCCACACCAGCACCCATCCCTGGAGCCAGTGCCAGAGCTGGGACCCCTCCTTGCGTGAATCCTCGCACAGCTCTTCCCCAGTCCGGGGTGCCAGTTGGGGTGTAGACCCCAGACCCTTCCTCAGATAGCAACGGGCCGAACCAGCTCAAGCCATGGGGAGATCACCCACATGACTTCACAGCACCCCCTAAATGCAGAGCCCCTGGGAGCTGCTCACCACCTTTCACTGAGTTCTTAAAAGCTCTTGCTCGGCAGCAAACCCGTCGGACGGGAGACCCCAGGATACGCAGCTTGTATGAGGCACGGCAGCACACACAGAGCTGCCCCCACCTCCCCAGGACCCCCACAGCTGGGAAACCTGCTCTCCAAAGCACCTTTTTTTTATTTATTTTCTTGACTTCATTTCACTGAGATTAGACAGTAAATCTTTTCCCTAAGCTAAATATTTCATTCCCATTAAACCGAGATTAGCTGCCTGATTTACGGCGCCTCTTGCCCCAGCCCCAACATGAACCTTTCACACGGGGGCACGGGGTGGCTGTGGGTTTGGCTCCATTATCGAGGGGCTGTAACACTGTGCTGCCCCATGGCATTGCGGGGCTGGCATGGGGCAAGCTCTGCACCACACAGGGGGATGGTGGCACCACATCCCTCCACGCTGTCCCCCATGGGATGGGGGGCACCGGGATGGGAACAGCCCAGGGGGAACCTGCTGTGCCTCCACAGAGGGGCTTGGGTTGAAGGAAAATGAGACACTTATTCAAATACACTCTGTTGGGGGGGAAATAACTCATATAATTCCCCAAGGATGAAGGCAAAAGTGCTCGCCGAGGTGTTCGAGGCTTTTCCATGGATCTTGTTGGGGAAAAGACATCATCTCGATTGTGGGTGGTGGGTTTTTTGGTCGGGACTAGTTTGGGGTGATGGCTCAGGCAGGGCTCGGTGCCATCCATCCCTTCCCCAGCCCTGGCTGTTTGCAGGTTGGCTTCCTTGGGATGTTCCGGGGCGACTGGACAGCCTGGACCTGGGCACCTGGACAAGGCGGGGAGGTGACAGTCCCCCCCTGGGTCTGCAGGGGTCTGTGCCCATCCCCACTCAGGTGGGGGAGTCTGGAGGGGCCCAGAAGCAGAGCAGGGGGATGCAGGGTGGCAAGGGCAGCCGACCTGCTGTCCCCATCCTCCCCACTGCCAGATCACAGCAGGCGCAGCGGAGACCCCGGCACGGGGACGTTGTTATGGTAACTGTAATATCTTGCAATTCAACTGATTAAAGCAGGAATTGGAAAACCGGGCGCAGAGCGGGGCCAGATGGAGACCTGATTCCCTAATGGCCATCGTCTCAGCCTGGCCGTAATCCCCACCACGTGCCCACGCACCGGCACCATCCCTCAGTGCCGGCCTGTGCTACAAGAAGAGCAGTGCACCGGCTGCACTGGCTGCAGCCCCACGGCACGGTGCTTCTGCTGGGGGCTCCAGAGGTGCTGGGGACCCCAAACCAAGGGGAGCATTGCCAGAGCATCCCGGGATAAGTGACCACAGCCCCAGGCACCCCAGGATGCTGTGGGTAATGCTGGTCTGCAGCAGCCCATGGTCCCAGCAGAGACCCCCCAGCCGCCCCCACTGTCAGACCTGCTGACAGCCCTGGCCAGCCCCTCGCCCAGTTTATATCCTGGCCAGGCTCTTGGAGAATCGCCAGCCACGCTGCAGCTAATCCCATCTCCCTCCAAAACGACAGCCAGAAACGGGAGCCACGTCCTGCACTGCAGGAGGAGGTGGTGGTTCTGTGGGGCTGGAGACCACCACTCCCCACAGGACAGACACCGGTTGGTGCAGTGACAGGTGCTGGGCAGGTCCAGGTTCCCTGTCCCAGCCCAGGGATGCCGGGCTGGAACCCCACCAAGCTCCACTCGGCTGCTCCATGGAAAAGGGGTCAGCACCTTCCCTGCAGGAACCTCCTGACCTGTTTCTGCCCCGCTCAGCCCTGCTCGGCCGTTGGGATGCCCGTGGTTCAGTGACCGGCACGGAGGGTGCTGGCACCCCATACCTGATGTTGTCCATCAGATGCTGGTGGGACTCCTGGGTGAGGACCATGCAGAGGGCATAGGCCAAGTACTCCACCTTCCGCTCGGCCGCGTACTGCTTCAGGACAGTGAACACCTTCTCCTTGACCTCTGGCTGGTCCCCGAGGATGTCATCCACCTGCAGCACAGGAGCGGGGAAAGAAGAGGGAAGGGGCGTTGAGCAGCAGAGCAGTTGCCCGTGCGTGCGGAGGCATGGACGGTGCAGAAAGCGTGTCCGTCTCGTGGCAACAGGAAAGAGAAGCTTCAGCCATCGGCCCCCTCACACGCGCCCCGGGAGCATCGCACATGTGCCCAGTGCCGCTGTTCTCCATGTTAGAAACGTTGCGTGGGAACAGCGCCAAACCCCAAAACCCCAAAACTCTGCTCAGGCTGGGACCCAGCAGGCCAGTCTGGCGTCTACCTGGCTGAGGACATTGTGACGGGCTTTTGGGGGTATTTGAGCCTCTAATCACGCCCCGATCCTGCCGGGCGGCACTGTGCTGCCATTAACTCTGGGAGGCTGCAGGGAAGTGGGGATAAGGAGCGGGAATGTGAGCACCAGCCCTGGAAACAGTATTGGCAGCTTCCAGCCATCCTCTCCACCTGTGACAACCATGACAGGCAGACTAATTAGCTAATTAGCATCCAGCCAATTACCCTGCATGGGACCCTCCTGCTATTAGCCTCTTCCCAGGCCTGGGGGCCATTCCTTGCCCTGGGGCTCTGCTGGGTGGTGGGTGCTGCTGCCTTGCCTGGGTGCAGCAAACATGCAGGATGCAGGAAACTCCCAGTGAGCCCCCCAGGGTCCTGTGAGTTGGGTTTTCCAGCGAGGGGATGGCTTTGTGCTGGCAGCAGGTTTAACTACTTCCCTCCAGCTCTGCAAGCATAGCGGGGAGCAGCAGTGAGGGGAGAGGAGCCCCTCGCCCTTTTCCAGCACGTGCATGTGCGCCCCTGCGGCAGCATCACGAGGGACCCGGCAAAGCATCCCCTGGCCGAGACCCTGCGCTGGCTGGGAGAGCCCCCTGCCCAAGGAAGGGGCAGAGCCATTTGTTCCGGGCACTCATCCCACTTGGCAGCTCCCCAGGGAGGGCTGTCACGGGTGCTGCCACCCCCAGAACA